TAGGTATGATTACCAAAGGAAATGATTCACAAGGTGACTATTTCATTTGTGTGACACTCACTTATGTTATTAGTTCTAGAATATTAAGTCAATGAAATAATTTCCAGGATCTCCTGAGGAGTATCTCTCAATTGTAAACTTTATTTTTAGTGGCATTCTGGTGACTTATTGAGATTCCCCAGAATTAAAATATTTACCACACAGTGTTCCCAAACTCCCACAGCATTTATCCAGGCCTTAACTATTTATGTCTGGGTTTGTGAACTCATTGTGGATAGGGGGAATTATTGGAGGCCTCATCTTTGCTTTAAAGTATCTGTGGCATGGGATCTACCCTTTGAAGGCAAGAGCTCTTCACCTGCCCAGCTCTTTTCCAGCTCAGGATAGGAAGGAAAGAGATGCAGGGTGAGGGAGGGAAGCATTTGATTGGGGGTGTCAGAGGAGGACAGTTGCTACTCTCTGGTGACCCACATGTTAATTACCCCTGTCATTTAAACCATTGTTTTGTGTAACCAGAACAAAGTATTCTATTCCATGAAGTCTGCTTGATGTGAGACACATACAGGATGTGAATCTATGACAAAAATATTTAATATGTTTAAATACATTTAAAAATATTCAGTGCAGACAAAGCAGTTTGTCAGCGTCTTTGTTTTGAGTCTCTTTAGTATATACTGCTTTTGAAGATCAAGAACATTTACTGGAAATTGCTCCTTCACCAGGAATTTGCTCATATCACTGCAGGTCCACTTGTAAGACCTTGAAATCAGTCCTCCTGAGATCAGCACAAATGAGGATCGTCTCTTTATTTAGAAGCAAAAGCAGCAAGTGGGGCAGACAGAGGCAGAAGGAAGGATGGTATTGATAAATCAGCCAAATTTAATGGAAGAAAGGAAGTTACAGCTGTATTTGCAAAAACTCTTTGCTTATTTTTTCCCTTAAATATTAAGTCACTAGTTTTCAAAACTTCAATATGAACATGACTCACCTGAGGACAATGTTAAAATGTTGATCCCTAAGACCCTGCCCCCAGGTTTGTATTCCAGGCAGAACCCTGGAATCTGTATTTTAAATACAAAGCCCAAATCAAGTGTAATGCAAGTAATCCTCAAGACACTCTGAGAAACAGCATATTGGCAATGATTAATTTATATCTCTAAAAATGAATAGAGTAGCTGTTGTATGAATGGGAAGTGTTGATATTCAAGATGACCAAAGTATCGAGCTCTTCAGCCCTGGCTCCCCACTGCTCTTCTCCTAGCTCAGCACTTCTCCATCCATTTTGACCAAATAAAAAAACTCACATAGAGTTTCAGGACTTCTCCCCCCATTCATTAACCATTTGTTTTGCTTTACATATTTTTTTGAGGTGATAAGATTTCTCTTTTTCTAAACACATCCTGTTTTTCAATCTCTGGATGGTTGATCAATTGTATGGGAAAATGAATGGTTGAAGGGTTGAAACAGGTGGGAAAGATGAACAAAACACAAATCCTCACATTAGTAATATGCAAATCACTGAGTAGCAAACTGAGTAAATACTCTCAAGTCCCATCAACAACTTTAGAGAAAGGCAAATTCCGTTTGCCTCACTGTTGATCATTTAGGTAGACCCTGAAGACTGCCTTCATAAAACAAACAGAAACAAAACACCCATCCTCAGTTTTAAAAATTATCCATAGATCATCCAGGCCATCTAGGAGGATATGATTTAATCTGGCTACTCAGTAAATTATTTGCCCAAGTTAACCCAGCTAGTTAGTGGTAGATGGCTCTAGAGCCAGTTTTTTTTCAGACCTCAAGAGTATGAAGAACTAGCAGATCACGAAGTTTATTCCCTGGATCTTGACCATTTTTAGAAAAATAAAACACTAAATAAAAATAACTAGAGGGTATTGCAGATAGTAGGTCTAAGTATTTTTTTCGTGAAACTTGTTTGTACATGTGTGTGTAATACATAGACTATACATAAGCAGTATCTGTAAACTGGATTGTCACATAATGTCTACATTTTACTAGAGGTCATAGTCACCAAAGCTGGGAAAACTGCTCTATTCTACTATGTGACCTCAAAAGAGATTTGAAAGAAAGAGCATCTGAACTGGGTACAAACTCTATTGCAAAGAAAAATCCACACTCCTGCCAAATCAAAGCAGTGTCATCCCCAATATTTCGGATAAAAGTAAAAATCTGTGATATGATCAGAATGTGAAAATTCTTATTTGGGAAGCAAATATTATAACCAATGCAAGGGCCATCTCAATACTCATTCATTATGTACTATTTGAACTGTAGCTGAAATGAATAAGCAGGAAAGGCAAACAATGAAGAATTCAATTTCTCAATTTAGAAACAGAGAAAAAGAAAGAAAAGGGAGCACACATGCACAGTGGCTCAAGCCGTAATCCCAGCACTTCGGTGGATCACTTGAGGTCAGGAGTTTCAGAAAAGGGAGCACCTTGAAGTTCAGCAGGGGATAATACTTAAGTAAATCATGACACCATCTTCTGTGTGAACCGCGTGGTTTCAGCTTGCCCGTTCACTAACCCAAAGCTTTCAGAAGAGTTTTCTTAACCCTCGCCTAGAATAGGCTTCCCCAGCCTGAATCCCTAGGGTGGAAGAATAGCGGGGACGATAAGCATTCTTAAAAGATGTAGCTCGGGATGGGAAGTTCTTTTAATGACAAAGCAAATGAAGTTTCATTATGTCGAGGAACTTTGAGGAAGTCACAGAATCCACGATTTAAAAATATATTTCCTATTATACACCCATACACATGCACACCTACTTTCTAGAATAAAAACCAAAGCCATATAGGTCTGCTGTTGACTTTCTATATGTTGTCTATATCAAGTTATGTCAAGATGTTCAGTCACTTTGAAGAGGCTTTTATCAGAAAGGGGGAAAATCTCAAGGCAGAATTTAGGCTGTTACCCCTCTGAAGGTAAAATCAAAGTGGTTCAGATGTTGGCTTGTTGTAAATTTGTTTATATTAATAACAAGCTAAATGTGGATTTGCTTTAATCATCCAATCTTCCTGGTTGAAAACCTCATTTACAAGAAAACTGGACTGATAGGTTTCACTTTCTGTTTCATTTCTATCTACATAGCTTTATTCCTAGGACACAGTGTCCTACCCAAACTAAAACAATTCTGGATACAACGTTGGACACAGCGCTAGCTACCCAAACTGAAAGTTTCCACCGAAGGTCGGGAAAGTCCAATTCTCCGCAAAGGCATACTACATTTACTGCCTTGGGCAGAGGTGGGCGGGACGCTGCCTGCCGGCCGGGCGCGATGATGAGCAGCTGACAAGCCCCGTGCAGCCCAGTCCCGCGCAGCTTCCCGAGGCTCCGCACCAGCCGCGCTTCTCTCCGGCCGCAGGTAGGGTGCGTTGTTCCTCCGCGGGTGCCCACAGTCCAGCATCTCTGGCTGTCTCGCTGGGCACTTTAGGACGGAGGGTCTCTACGCCCTTTCTTTGGGATGGAGAGAGGAGGAGGGAAAGGGAACGCGATGGTCTAGGGGGCAGTAGAGCCAATTACCTGTTGGGGTTAATAAGAACAGGCAACGTATCTGGCCCTACTCCAGACGCGATTCAGTTTTGCTCTAAAAATAATTTATACCTCTAAAAATAAGTAAGGTAGGTAGTCATTCTTATGCGACTGTGTGTTCAGATTATGGCTCTGATGCTAAGCTGGAGGTCTGGACACAGGTCCTAGTCCAACCTCAGCTGCTTGCTAGTAATATGACTTGTGTAAATCATCCCAGCTGCAGCATCTCCTAAGGTCCCTTCCCGTGCTAAGCAGGTCCAGGACCCCTGAACGCAAGTTCTTTGCTCTGTCCATTCTGAGAACTCAAAGGAGTCCTAAAAGAGCGGTGGAGGAGCCTAAGAATAAAAATAGTACAACAAAACTTGTCTTAGACACATTGACCTTGGCCTATGTCAAAGTTCAGTATGGGTTTGTCTCATAACACAAGGAGTAAAAGTACCATTGTTCTACCTCGTTTTTTTAATACTTGAAAAAAATTTACTGTGGATACGTTTCTATGAATTAAATAATCTTCTAAAAATGTGTTTATTGCTGCATTCGATTAAGCTGGGTAACTAAATGAAATTAATTCCTCACTGTTGGACACAAAGGTTATTTACAATGGTTCTGTCTTAGCCATTCACTGAACATCATTGCATGTATATTTCTGGAACATTGCTGATTATTTCCTTCACATAAACTTAGAAGTGTAACTACTTAGTCAAAGACTGAATATTTTAAAGGCCTTTTGATGAAAACTGAAAATGCTTTCAAGAAAGGATGTATCAGTTGACAATGATAGTTGTCAACAGTATTTAAGAAGAACTATGATACTGTGAAGAAAAACTTAGCCTTTCTCAGTAGAAGCAGGTAGGCAGAGGCCACATGTCAGCAGTTAGAGTGTGGTCTTCAAGGAAGTCACAGAAATACTGTGGGGAATTGAAACCCCATGTGGAAAATGTACAAGAGTGTCTCAGTGTGACTGAGAAGGAGGTTGGGCATGGGTTTTAATAGAGTTTAATAAAGTTTGATCACTTAGTAGAGCCTTAATAAATCAACTCTCTTAATCCTTGATCCCACTTAAAAAAATTGATTTTTCTTTGTAGAGATGGGGCTATTGTGTTGCTCAGGCTGGTCTTGAACTCATAGCCTCTGGTGATCCTCCCGCCTCAGGCTCCAGAAGTGCTGGGATTACAGGTGTGAGTCACCATATGGGCCTCTTGCTCTTACTTTTGAGAAAGAAAACTTAACCTTTTTTTTTTTTTTTTTTTTTTGAGACCAAGCCTCACTCTGTCGCCCAGGCTGGAGTACAGTGGTGTGATCTTGGTTCACTGCAACCTTTGCCTCCTGGGTTCAAGCAATTCTCTTGCCTCAGCTTCCTGAGTAACTGGGACTACAGGCACCCGCCACTATGCCGGGCTAATTTTTGTATTTTTAGTAGAGACAGAGTTTCACCATATTGGCCAGGCTGGTCTCAAGCTCCTGACCTTGTGATCCGCCTGCCTTGGCCTCCCAAAGTGCTGGCATTGCAGATGTGAGCCACTGCACCCGGCCTCTTAACTTTTTCTCTATCTCTTCCTCCTACCCATCCTACCCTTGGAAGATGAGAAGTAGTATCAGTTCCAGAGTATTATACTGGGCTTCCCCCAGGGACAAACCCACTTCCCCAACCTGAATGAGCCATCACTTCTTCCCCAGTTTACATTTCATTGCCCTTTGAATGTCTCCATTCGGAAACGGGAATTCACCGATGGTCATAATTCTTACCTGAAGAAGGAGATGTCAGTCTTCTTCTCTTAGACCAATTGCCCTGATGTGAGGTTTAGAGGTTAAAGACCATGTGTATTTACATGATCTTTGTATTCTGCCTTTTTGTCCCTCACTAATGACAGCTGTACTCCAAGGAAACGGAACTGTGAAGGAGAGGGTTTGATGAGAAATTAGGTAAATATTGGATCTAATCAATCACTTTCCAGGAAACCTTTATTACTCCTAAAAATTTTAACTAAATACATTAAAGGATAAGAACTCCACCAGAGTAGGCCATAAACATTGGCAAAATTAGTTGTAATCCATGACTAGATTTAATGTCTCTTTGTTTTGCTCACATATAGTTATAATGCTTTGCTTGAGATTAGGGGTATCTTAAGTTTTCTTCTGCCCAGTAAGTGTATTTGTGTTTATAATACAATAATTATAAAATATCAAATGTTACATTAATATTTTATAACTGTACAATTAACTCTGGCCCAAGGAAAAGATAGTCCGATAGATGCTGCAGCCCCATTTTAGCAAACTTCGTGACCTCACAGACCTGATGCCATCACTATTCCCCATCTGCAGGATGGATGGAAAGGAGAAAAATAAGAAATATGTACATAACCCTATTAAGAGGATGATGACTCATTTTATTTTACTTACCTTTTTTAATATACAGGGCTCATAGAGGTTGATAAGAAACCAGTGACATAAACAGACCAAAAAATGGTCAGATCTTTCAAATTAGTAAAAAAAAATTTTTTTTTTAAACAATACCCAATTATGGGTGAAAAGAGAATGTAATGGTACCAATTATCAACATATGTGAAGAGCCAGAAAAATGTTCTTTTTCTTTGATCAACAATATTATTTGGGGAAATCTATCCTCCAGGCCTAGCCTGGGGCCTGGCACACAGTAGGCACTCAACAAATATTTGCTGAACACACAAATACTTATGATATTTTAAAAACTGGCAACAATCTGATACCTAACAATAGAGGAATTAAATATTATGGAATATGGAACTGTTAAATAAGATGCTTATGAATATCATGCAGTAAAATGGACAATATTTATGTCATAAGCTTAAATGTAACAAATGGGTATTAAATGTATAAGGTTACAATTAATTTTTAAAAGATTGCAGGGAAAAGGACTGAAAGATATATACTGAAATGCTCACAATGGTGACAAGGTTTCCTAGCCTTGGCACTATTGACATTTTGGGCTATATGTATTTGCTGTGGGAGGCTGGCCTGTGCACTGTGGGATGTTTGGTGGCACCCTTGGCCTCTACCCGTGTATACTAATAGCAACCCTCCCTCAACCAGCCCAATTCTGACAACCAAAAATGTTTCCAGGCATCACCAGATGCTCCCTGGGTAAGAGTGATATAACAGTAGGTGATTTTCCTCTTCTCATTTTCTGTAATTTCATTATATTACCTTAATAATAAAGACAAAAGACATTAAAATCAATGAATGTTATTCTACCTCAATTTGGGTGTTTGGACTCCATTTTGGGGTTCTTTCTATTATGTAACCTGGTCTGCTAAACATTCTACAGTTTGGGGAGGTGAAATGATTCATGAAATTTTGTTTATTTTATTTTCCTGATACTAAAAGTAAAACATTCATTCAATTGAAAATTTGGACACAGAACACCAAAAAAAAAGAAAAAAAATCAAAAATCCATCATCTCATCTCTCTTTTTTCTGTCTTTTCCTTCCCCTAAAAACAGTAAGAGTGAAAACCTACCTGTACTCCCTCTAATTTAATTCCTAAGTATAATCACTGTCAATATCTTGGACATTTCCTTTGTCTAAACACACACACAAACACACACACACATTTTTTTTAAAAAACAAAAGTGGACATATGTTGTTTTGCAACTTACTTCCTACATGTTTACAAAATCAGTACATTTACATATGCTGAATTTGGTCCTTAATGGTATTATATTTTGTGAATCTGTAAAAATTTATTTAACCACTTAGGAAATCTAGAATATTCTCAGTTTGCTATTATGAGTAATGCTCTTCCTTTACATATACTGTTATATACATGTGTGTGTGTGTTTGTTTTAGTAGGATAAATTTCTAGGAGAGGGTGAATGTCATATGATATATGCATTTAAAATTGTAATAGGAAGTATCAAAGTGCCCCGTAAAAAAGTTAAACAACTTTACATTCCTCCCATTAGTAGATGAGAAAGCCTATTTGCTCATATCTTCACAGACACTAAATATTAGAAATACTTATGATTGTGGTCAAGCTAATAAGTGAACATTTGGACACAGAACACCAAAAAAAAAAAAAAATCAAAAATCAAAAATCTCATCTTTCTTTTTCTGTCTTTTCCTTCCCCTAAAAACAGTAAGAGTGAAAACCTACCTGTTCTCCCTCTAATTTATTTCCTAAGTATAATCACTGTCAATATCTTGGACATTTCCTTTGTCTAAACACACACACACACACACACACACACACACACACTTTTTTTTTAAAACAAAAGTGGACATATATTGTTTTGCAACTTACTTCCTACATGTTTACAAAATCAGTACATTTACATATGCTGAATTTGGTCCTTAATGGTATTACATTTTGTGAATATGTAAAAATTTATTTAACCACTTAGGCAATCTAGAATATTCTCAGTTTGCTATTATGAGTAATGCTCTTCCTTTACATATACTGTTATATAAATGTGTGTGTTTTTGTTTTAGTAGGCTAGATTTCTAGGAGAGGGTGAATGTCATATGATATATGCATTTAAAATGTAATAGGAAGTATCAAAATGCCCCGTAAAAAAGTTAAACAACTTTACATTCCTCCCATTAGTGGGTGAGAAAGCCTATTTGCTCATATCTTCACAGACACTAAACATTAGAAATACTTATAATTGTTGTCAAGGTAATAAGTGAACATTTGGACACAGAACACCAAAAAAAAAAATCAAAAATCCATAATCTCATCTCTCTTTTTCTGTCTTTTCCTTCCCTTTTACCTTTTAAAAACAACAAAGAATGAACACTTTTTTTTCCTTTTAAAACCAAGAAAGAGTGAAAACAACTTTACATTCCTCCCATTAGTGGGTAGGAAAGCCTATTTGTTCATATCTTCACAGACACTAAATATTAGAAATATTTATAATTGTGGTCAAGCTAATAAGTGAAAATTTGGACACAGAACACCAAAAAAATGTGAAATGGTGTTTCATATAATAGATATTTTTATTGTGAGATTGAATAACTTTTCTATGTTTACATGTCACCTGTATTTCTTATTCTCTGAACTATGTTATGACCTTTCACTTATTTTCCTCATGGGTTATGTGTAGTTTGTATAGTTGTCTTATCGATTTTAGTAACTATCTATATATTAGGAACATTAATCTCCTATCTTATATGTATGTGGCATTAATTAGTTGATCATTTGTGTGTTCATGTCTGTATACAAAGGTTGGAGAGGCACTAAGGGAAAACTTACCTTTTTCTTGTCAAAGTTTGTAAATATATGTATAACACAAGAGAGAGAAAATACTAATAAATGCATCGATTGGCTGAAATTGAGTATAAATCTTTCACTCCCCTACTTCAACGTAAGCTCCAAAAGGAGAGTGACTTTTCTTTCCTGCTGACTTCTGTATTCCTCATGCCTAAAACAGTGCCTAACACAGAAGAGGTGCTCAATCAATGTTTGCCAAATGAAAGAATTAGTAAATTTACAGTAGGATGACAGAATGAAGAATAGAATCTAGTCAGATACCTCTGGAAGAATGACTGTGGGTCATTCATATCTTAGTATGAATTAGTCAAATCCAACTCTCTCTCCTTCCCACTGTTACTAGAAGAATCTGTTTATTGAGAGAATAGATTTATAATTAGAATAAGTGAGAGGGACAAAAGAGAAGATTTTGAAGGATGGCACCTGAAGGAGGACTAGCATAGCTGATATAGTGAAGTGGAAGTCGTGAATAGCTAAAGGGTAAGATGAAAGTATTTAGCTGTAGGGGGAAAAAGCATTGACAAGATGGAGAAATAAAAGTCAGATTCTTCTTGCTTTGAAATTTTGTACAGGGCAGGTTCTACTAGGTACATTACAATGCAGAAAAAACATGAAATAGTTGAGAAGAGTTTGGTGCAATATTATCTTCTTGGCTTCTTTTGAGTGGGCAGGTTTTTTTCTATAATAAATTAGAAACTACTCATCTTGTAGTAACTTTTTTCATTTAACTTTATATGGCTGTGGGCTATAAAATGAAAGTGTTGAACTTCTAATTCCCTGTTGGGTTTCCACAATTACAAGAAAATCATGAGTGGTTATTAGAAGACTATCTCAATTAGAACTACTAAGTCCCATACTGCCATATTGTGTGTTTAATTATTAAGTAAAGCAGTCGTCTTTTTGTGTTTTCCATTATTAGGTTATTACAGAAAGATGAGGATATTTGCTGTTTTTATATTCATGACCTACTGGCATTTGCTGAACGGTAAGACACCAAACGCTTCCATTAGGTTCTATGTTTTAAATATTTTAACCATGAGTTTAAAACTAAAATGATAATTTAATATGCATGCAACTTTCTTATAGAGAGAACATTCTATTCTTTCTTCTACTTTACACAATGACAAAGTATTTCTTGACACAGGTGACTTTGTCATTGGGTAAAGATATAGAGAATATAGACAAATCAAAAGACATAAAATAATCCATTATCCATTTCCTAGGGATAACTACTGAAAATATCTGGGAAAACTGCCTGTATGTATACTTTTATTTGTTTGTTTTCAACAAAGCCAGGATCTTTCAGTCTTGGTTGCTCTGTGACATGCCTTTCCTGATGAGGATACTCTAAGGAAGAATTTTAGGATGCATGGAAAATGTCAGGGTAACACAGTAATGGCATCACCCTGTGGTCTTCCCTGAACTCCATACCGATGTACTTCTTGCCAGAAAACTAATCAAAAGTTTAGGGAAGTAAAAAGAGATGACTGTTAGAATCTATCATTCCCTGTATGTAGGAATCAAATAGATTTCCAGCCAAAGGACATTCTGGGGATGTTTATGTGAAAGCAAGCCTCCCTGGTTGTAAGTACTCCATCTCCATATATTTCTACAGTAACCTATGTTTATAAATTGTGGAGGCAAC